CTTCATGATACGTCACTCTCGCCGAGAATTTTACTCTAATATTTAATATAACCGACTTTGGGAATTTTAACTAAATTCGTCCCAATAATCCCATCCTCGCTTTGAGCGAATGGTCCACCCTATGAGAGAGTCCCCCTCTAAAGTACTTTGTGAGCCTGTTTGTTCAATAACTTATTATTATACTTCTAGTGGAGTCAAACCGATTCATCCGTCTAACAGGGTCAATTTGAAATTTTTCGTATAACCATTGAATAATAAATCTTTCAATGATATAACATAACAATATTATTTAGAAGCTTATTTGTTATTAAGGCTAAACTGTTTTGAACAAAGTAGAAAGCGGAATATAAATGATAATGAACTCTATTCTCCCATACTTAATATTGTCATCATAAGTATTAGGGATGCAGTGAATGTAGGTACAGCTAATTAATTTGTGAGAAGCATTTATTGCAATATCATACACATCCTCAATTGCACTTAAAATCACCCTCAAACAACATTCAACTACATGTTATATGACGTATAATAAACAATACAGTTGCCTAGCTACATATTTATTTCATTGTGTTTGTGCAACTCTCATTTATTAGATTCTGCGTGTATTCCCCATTCGAACAGTAATCATGCCTACAATTAGTTGCCTTAATTTACTGTCAAAAAGATGCGAATTGTTTTGTTATGTAAAAGTACGATACTCTCATCCTGTTCGCCAAAAAATAGTTCACATCGTCTAGTTCATGTGACAATTGGCTTTGTTACCAAACGTCCTTAGATCAATTTTTTATTTATTATAATTTACAGTTCGATAATTGCTCTTAGTGTTCCGCTTTCATATAGTGTGTTCGTGTTGTGTTGTGTGTTATGCTTGTGTGGATCCTACGTTCCTGAGGATATGGTAATTAGCTAAATAATATTGAAGGAATTGTTAATTTGCGCAAACTTACCATCCAATCAGTGTTTGTATACCTAAGCTAGTATGAGTATTCGGGTAATGCCATTTATTACACGGTATCACATATTCACGCTATTTTTCCTAATGGGAAACAATTTATTCACTTAAATAAAGAATGGGAAAGTGTTAAAGGAAACTTCCCTCCTCAAAGCTTAATGTAGCTAGGAACACGTGACACAGTTCGTATGAAAATGATTCCACGTTAACATTTATATCAAAGAACAATTTATGGACAATGAATACAGTAAAAATTATTTTAAAGAAATATTTAATTCTTGCGTGGAGAAGACACAAGCTTGAAATTTTGTGTTGCTTCTATGTCATTAAGAAAATGGTCATTTGCATCTGTTTTTAATTTCTCTACTCCACCCAAGACATTATTTCTGATACTGATCTAGCACTAGAAAAACTATATCTAATTGGTGGGTAGGTTTTCATGAAATTGTGGCGATTCCGTTGTTATTTAATTAACAGTTAAATTGTGAAGGCTGTACCACTCAGGGGCGGACGGGCTAGTATAAATGTCAACTGATGGGGCGCCAAAATGTTACACTGGACAATGGGTCTTCCTATCTTTTCAGTACAGTTTTCCGTAACAAGAAAATCTTCGTTTAGGTCAGGGAAAGACAGGCTAGAAACTTTATTACGTATACGGACAATGTATACTGTGGTTACGTATAGTTGTATAATTGAAATCATTAAAGTAATTGGAAAGTGCATTATAGAGTATGGTAAAAGAAACGAGGACCTCCTATCGTGAATGAACCCGGGCACCATGGTAATTTCTTGGAACCAGTTTTATTGTTAAAAAAATTCGACCCATTTAATACTACTCAAAACATTAGAGACTACTTCTGTAGAACTAAATGTTAACCCGTGAATCCCCATTTCAGAAAATGGGCCGGTAAATATTTTCCCTAGGTCGCTTAAAGGCTACCAGTCCGTCTCATCCATCAACAACGTATATTTTTGGTGACTGTTTTTCGAGACACAAATTACCCATTGCCCTTTCAGCCGGGTGGACTTTGGTGGCCGCGGCAGGCGCTCTCTCGATATTTTCGTCAGACAATGCAATGCACATATTGTGGATCTTTTGGATTCAAAGTATATAGAGAAGGACTGTTAGTCAGTTGTTTAATTAACAGTACGGATGACGTAAAAACCTGCCAGGGCAAACCAAACCAGAGCTGTCACAAATCGTTTAAAAAACGATTTAAATCAAAGATCAAAGATGCATTTCATTTTAACAAATGATTTAAATCAAAGATACTTTTGTCAATAAGAAAGTATTTAGATAATAAATCATTTTGAGATTTAAATATTTTTTGTGATTTAAATCTTTTTAGAAAGTATTTAAGATACTTTCAATGTATTTAATTCATTCAAAAAGGTTTAAATCTAATTTTGTTAATTTAAATCACGTATAAAGATTTAAATAATGTAATGATGTAATGATTTAAATCTTTTCCGATGATTTAATCGTTTTGTGACAAAAGGTTTGTAAAGGATTTAAATTCAATAAAACTGATTGGTCTGATGATCTTGCTCGAAACCCATTCATCAATATACTTACCATTTCTACCGTATTTTATTGTTATTATTTATTAAATTAAAATATGTACCTATTTTTTTGCGAAAGAACTTTTAAAAAACCGAGACATCGTCAATCTCAGTAGGTATACTCGATTTTGTAATAAATACATATAAACGTCTACCGAAATCAAACCCGGGTTAATTAGCTTAGTCAGGTTGAAATAAATCAAGAGAATTTGTTAGTATGTATTAATTAAATCGTCTCTAAAAGATTTAAATCACTCGGAAACGATTTAAATCTTTTCGAAAGTATTTAAATCTTTTCGAAAGTATTTAAATCTTTTTAAAAGATTTAAATCATTTTTTAAGTTCAAAATCAAAGATAGTTTTCATGAAGATTTAAATCTTAAATCAAAAATCATTTTCCGTAAAAAGATTTAAGATCAAATGATTTAAATCGAAAAAAGTATTTAAATCATAAAAAAGATTTAAATCTTATTAAAAGTGACAGCTCTGAACCAAACATATAATAGAAAAGTAAACATTGTACTTTTTATCAGTTTATGATATTTCCTTAAAACACCGCGCTTAGCACATTTCATGGTGTCATCTTTTTACAGATCGCAAACTGCAAAAAAGTATTTGCATTCACCAACACACATTATGAATTTAATATGTGGCACCAATTACAAAAATCGAAAAATGTGTGGACTTTGTTCTTTGTTTATCTCCGAAGCCAGGTTTTGTATATACTGGAGAACCCTCTTCATTGTAAACTGGTTCCTAGATGGTAGAATATCGTAGATATGCCAATAAAAACGATATTGTTACGGGTATTACTTGTGTTAGGCTAATGTTTTCAACAAAATTACAATAGCTGCACCTTATTTTGATTCTCTAACGAATTTTGTAGGTAATATTGTATTTGGGGCAACATTTTCGGGACTTCATTGCAATGCGGTAACGCCAAAGGGCTTTAAATAGTTAGGTGCCTACTGAAATATATTTAAGGGAATAGAGGTAACATTTGCAATGTTTATTAATATTACCAGCACGTGTTACTCGCTTTTGTACGTTACGGCATTGAATAAAAATAGTGTTTTTATTCAATGGTTACGGTTAGGTCGTCCTACTCAGTCCTGCTCATCACACAATCCTTACAAAAGTAACTGTTAAAACCAATTTTGTGTTTCTTCGTTTTACTTGTTTGCTCTAGGCGAGGCTTAAATAAAGGGTATCTTATTTTGGTAGATTGTTTGATAGGTATTTACTTTGCAAAAAAACGAAAAAATTCCGAGTTCCGCGTAAATACATAATTTTAAAACAAATTTCAGCTACAATTATGGTTGACTTAACAACAAATATAAAGAAACAAAAGATTTTGAGATATTGCAACGTTTTATGAGGTGCATAACAGGACCCTTGGTGATTCCTACGCTAAATCTACATAATTATTTTCAGAAGTCGTATGTAAAAGTATTTTACAATTAATTATTTTATAAAGAGTGTGTACAGCAAATTTTTCTGCTCTGTTGAGTTTACATAATGCAGATTTTAAACATAAACTTTTAATTCGTTATCATTCATGTTTCATGCCCCATGTTGTCAATTTGAATAAAATGTTGAATGTTTGGGGATAAAGCTCACAATAAAAAAGTTTGGACGCTTAGTTTCTTTAGTTGAAATGTTATGGAGTAATCGACATCGCAACCAGAATTTTTTAAATTAAACAATAAAATTGTGCAAAACTAAGTAATTAGATTGATTTCCATATTTTGTTTAACTAGATGCAAATGATATGACATTTATTTCTGAGAAATTAACGGAAACGGAGTCCTTATATAGATACTATTACACTTTTTGCGTTATGACTATTTACCTACTAAAATTGAAATTAGTGACCAGTTTGGATGATTTATTTTGATTAATTATTAGGCGTTATAATACCCCAGGGCAACTTTCACCTATCGGTGAGATAGGATAATTTGCTATAGGCAAATTTATTGAGAATACGTAAAAAAAGTAGGTCGTAAGAATTTCCGATTTTTTTGTTATATTTTTGAGATCCACGGCATATTGAAAAAGGTGGGATTTAGATGGTCTCAAGCACGTGAAACATTAAACTTCATTTTAGCGGTCTGAAAGAGAAGGTTAAGAAAGATAATTAACCGTATAATATCTTGTGTCATCATTGGAGTGAATTAGTTTGAATATGTAAATAATTATAAATTAATTATACTGCAATTTAAAGCTGAACGTCGCTAGAATTATCTCAAAAATTAGTCAACAAGACATTGTTTGGTTGATGAGATAAGTTATACCAACTTGTGGCACTTTTTGCAAAACTACGCCATTTATACGATGATCCTCTCTTAATTAGCCTCTGAAGGATTTATTCAACGGTTGGATGGCTTATTTAATTAGTAATATATAATCAAAATTTGATTAGCCTTTTTATTCAAAATAGTAAAACGAAAAGTTAGTAAGTAATTTGTCGTTTAGTTGTTTGTTGATTTCCTTGAAGCTTATAAATTAAAATCTTGACCGACACCCCCATACCGGCTATCACTAATGACGTTGTAAAGAAACCAAGCAACCAGTCAGAATCATAAGTTTAAGAGTACTACACTCGTTTTAATCTCAAGTAAACGGAAGGTGATAATTAACGGTGCCGTTCCCGCGGAGTTTAAAATTGCTCTATACATAAGTGCAGTACGTGCCAAGTGGTGTTTTAGTTGATTGTTATTAAATATCCCCGAATAATGAACAGGATGTTTAACAAAATCTTTAATCGATCATCTATGAGTTTTTCAGTGACTTTAACTAAAATTATTCTTTAATATTAGTTAATTGTGTATTCTAGTTCCAGTTGTATTAACCGTAAGTAACCAGCAAAATTCTTCAGTCATAAGACCATGTATTCATAAACTATATTAAATGATCTGGCCCGGAATACTAGGTAGTAATGACTTTTTAAGTAAATGATAAGTACACCTATGGGGCATCTTCCAAGCGATATCATAAAGTTGTTATTTTCCAAAATGTTCGAAGGAGTAACTACACCAAATCTTTAAACATTGATGCTTTTTCGCCTATTTGTATATAGCTTCGTTTGGTGACCAATATCCTACCCTAATTTTTCATTTCAACGTCGGAGGACGAGGGCAATCGGGAGGGTTCATGAAAAATATGTTACGAAACGTGTGAGTTTCAGTATCATAGTTTGCCAATGTTTATTTAACTTGGTCAAATGAGCTACTTTCTCCTATTTAAGATAAGACAACGTTTGAAAACACGTATTTGCATTCGCTAGTTGTAAATTACCCAAATTCTACAGACGTTTCCACCGTGTGCCAAACACAGACAAATTAGAAGCTGACTAAATGATACAAAGCGTCATGGTCATTTAAAAGCTTGAAAGCGTCTCTAATAATGGGAATATGTTTATTTTTACTATGAAATAGACGATTTGTTAGATTTTTTGTACTATGAATAGGCAATTAGATAGTTAGTGCTTTGCAACTATTTGTGTAACTTGAAGGTCTAAGAAACAGGTTGTTGGAAATCTTTTGCGTTCAGCAGTTAGAGGAATGAAATAAACAAATTTATGTAAATGAGCGTGTAATTTAATTGGATTTAGTGGACTAAATGTGGCAAATACAAAACGGTTGTAAAAAATTGGGCCAAGTTGATTTAAACTTGTTATGGTTTGTTTTTCGAACTTTGTAAAAATGTAATGCTTTTTTCTCAAAGTAATTATTTATTCGCAAATTTCTGTTATACCTATGGCAGCTTATTTGTTGTCCCAATTAATTGTATTGTCCAGTATGCTAATTGAAAAAAAGAAAGAAAATAATTAAATTAACCCTTAAAAAATGGGCAAAACAAAGTACCCATCATTTATAATTACTTATATTTGTCCTGGCTGAAGGTCATTATGACGGGTATATTAGCGAACAATACCGGCAGATTGATGAGCACTTAAATAATTAAGTTAAATGTTGTGCTGGCACATGGACAATGGATCTGACAGCTAGTAAAATTTTCGTTGATATATGTGCTCTGGTATAAATTAACTGATTTCTAAATCGAAATCACTCAGATTACTTTGCGATCTATTTGATTTTGAAATTCCGGATCATTACAATTACTCATTATTCAAAATTTCATTCCCAATGGTTTTCAACTAGAGTATTTCATTTACGTCGCGTTTGTCTTGGCATGAGAAGAATAAGACAATAATCGGCACGTTTCTGTACAATTATCCCCTTAAAACCACAAATAAGAAAATTGACCGGATTTATTAATACTTATTCTCAAACGAAAAATTGCGAAGGAATTTCTGTTGCTTAAATATGACCTCAAGTAAAATGACCTACGGATTTAAAATGTTTATACCCTACAAGTTTGCCTTGCGATACAAAAAACCCATAGATGGAAAGAAACATTGTGAAATTCAAGATCACGTTAATCATCAATGAGATTCATAAACTAAATAATTGCCAGACAATCACTTATTTTTCAATCAGCCTTGCATTTGTTGAATTCGTACCTCGGTAAACATTACATACTATTATAGGCACTCAAACTGGCAGTAATATATTTAGAGGTAAAAACACGCTTTTTATATTGACCCAGAAATGTCGCATAAGAATCACCCTTGAAATATCAGAATGTACCTATAAAACAAGGCCAATTAACAAATCAGACTTATTCAGCAGCACGCACTTCCGACTTCCCATTCAACAAAATGCCCTTGCATTATGGGGGTGTTCTTCTATGAAGACCTTGTATTCAAGAGGATTCACTAGGTTTGCGTAACCTTCAGTTAAGTAGGTACATTAAGCTTTTGGTGTTCATGACCTCCATTTGATTAGCTGTATTAGGTACCTACTCAATCCTATAGTACTTTTAATATCAGTTACGTATCTCGTGCCATTTTCGTAACTTCTTTAAACAAATTTAAGTAAAATATTGTTACAGCTTGCTTTATCTCTACGTACGTCCAAGTAAAGTACATTTATCACAAAAAGATTGCTATAAACTAGTTGTATAGCAGTTACAATTTTTATAAACGAAACACGTTCATGAAACAATAATTAAATGCTATTATTGTGAACGCTGGTCGCAGAAAATTAACATTGACCCACGTTTCTAGTAACTAACTAAATTTACAAAACTTGTGAAATAAATCTTCGCTTGGGCAGATATAAAACAAGGGTAGTTTGGATGATCGTTGTGCGATTTACCTAAATACCTTAGTACGATTATTTATAAATGTTAAATTATGTTCCGAGTAATACATATATGAGCTTGTCCGTGAAACATATTTCCAACTTCCTAATATATTTTTACTTGTTGTAGAGCTTTCCACTACAGTTCAGCCCGCTGCCCCCAATAGACAGAGCTCCAAAGACCGATTTGTAAACATACTTGGTGAAGAATCCAATAACAAGGATAGTCATCATAGAATGGTAGAAGGTGATCCATCGAATAAGAATAAAGCAGACTCCGATGTAAAGGGTGAACGCGTTCCAAACGGTTGCGGATCTAAGGATCTTGAGCTCATTCCGTTCGGTCGGAAAGATCCGGGAAAGGTATCGGGGGATCTTGAAAAGGGAGTTAGCGAAAAGGCCGACTTTGAGAGTGCTATAGAACTAACTGGGTATGGAAAGTTTCATTATATGCTGTTAGCAGTATGTGGGTTTGTGAGCACATCCGAGGAGATGGACGTCATTTCGATGTCGTTCATCTTACCGTCGGCGCAATGCGATCTAGAGCTCAATACCTACTCCAAAGGATGGTTGAATTCGATCATCTTTATTGGCATGATGGCTGGAGCATATGCATGGGGTTCTGTAGCAGATGCTTTGGGGCGTAGGAAAGTTCTTATCGCCATATCGGTTATGAACGCTCTTTGCATTGTAGCTTCGAGTTTTAGCCAAAGCTATGAGCTTTTCATGCTATTTCGATTTTTGAACGGAGCAGCGTACGTAGTATCCTTTAATTAATTTAAGTAGTTTCAGATCTTGTGTTACAGGTTAGGGGGCAGCGGGCCAGTAATATGGTCGTACTTTGCAGAATTTCAACCGAAAGCCAAACGCGGATCGATGTTGTCCTTCATGGCCGCTTTTTGGACGTTAGGAAATCTTTTTGTAGCTGGATTAGCGTGGTTGATCATTCCAACTGGAATAGGATACACATCTCAAGTCTTTATTTATAATTCTTGGCGCATCTTTCTACTCATTTGTTCAGTTCCATCATTTGTAGTAGCGGTACTTTTGTATTTCTTACCCGAAAGTCCCAAATTTCTTTTATCACGTGGACGAGCCGACGAAGCTCTAGATATCTTCAAAAAAATATACAAAGTCAATACAGGAAAAGATGAAAATGAATATCCAGTGAAGCATCTAGTAGTAGAACAAGACGTTATTAAATCAATCACAAGTTCCGATAAGCCTGCGACAAAAAATAAGTACAAGAACATGATGTCGGACATCCTCTCAAACAGCAAACAATTATTTGTCAGCCCCATTCTAAAATTTACGCTCATTTCCATTACGATCAATTTTACTTTTCATATTGGGTAAGAGTAACCACCGACCTGTGAATAAGGAATAAGTTGTCGTTTGTAGGTACTATGGTTTAATGATGTGGTTCCCTGAGTTATTTAATCGTTTTGATGAGTATGCCCGTCAGTATCCGGACAAGACCGCCGACGTTTGTGCTGTAACCAAGTATGTGACTGCGTCAGGAAGTCAGCAGGATGGAAAAGTATGCTCAGACAAAATAGAAAGCGCCGTTTTCATGGAATCCCTTATAACTGTAGCATCAGCGTTACCAAGCAATATAATTGCGGTTTTGGGTATGGACCGCTTGGGAAGGAAATTTTTCTTAGGTATAATGAATTTGTCTCGAACGTGATTTAGAATTTTTATTTCAGTATTCAGTACATTAACGTCGGGAATTTGCGCAGCATGTATGTACTTGGTTTATAACAAGATGCAGAATTTAGCAGTCTCTGCAGTTTTCAGTGGAGTGATTTCTTGTGGAAACGCCGCTCTGGATTGTTTAATTACAGAAATCTTTCCAACCAACCTCAGGTAGGTGCATTACGCAATCTGTTAGCTTTTAATTACCTTTTATATAATTTTAGGGCTACGGGAGTCGCTATTTCTATGGTTGCAGCACGGTTAGGGGGTATTATTGGAAACATTGTGATAGCTACTTTATTAGACCTATACTGCCCCGCTCCAACTTTCATTGTAGCAGCTTTGCTAATTGGAGGGGGGCTTCTTTGTTTAACCTTACCTAATACAACAAGAGAACCCTTGTCATGATAAGAAATTAAGGTGTTTTCCACTATCACGCATTCATTGGTTCATTTTTTACTATTTTTCATGACCAAAATCATTCTTCCTAATTTAACGGCGACAGCTTAGTGTCGAGCTGTAGATACGATCGTTTAATAAGTAATATTACTTATTAGGTGGTATGATGTTCAGTAGGTAGCTATAAAGACTATGTTATTACCTCTAGACAACTTTGTATTTTAATTACTTATGCATATAGTTTTAATTATGTTATACAATGATTAATAAAACAAATTATATAACTGGCTAATTACTATATGTTTACAAATAAATTAAAGGATTTTCCCTGGTACCTGCATTTCCCACCGGTAAATAGGGTGATTAATGCCAATTAACGCAAAGATTTCAAAGTAAACAAAGCAATTTAAAATCCACCAGTGCCAATTAAATTATGGATCTATGTTAAATATACCGAAAATTATAATTAATATACCGTGTGGATTAGCGCTACAGGTACGTTCTATTCGTCCTCCAACGAAGCAATAATATCCATTTAAACAACGAATCTGTTGTGATGAAATGGGTTACCGTTTTTTAAAGCCATGACACGATCATTTTCAGTACTACATGTAAAAAATGATATTTCTGGCACAAAGATTGTAGAATACCAATCAGAATTCATGTTTCTACGATTCTCTAAGGTTACCATTACCAAATGGACAGAAGAGATGGATCATTTGCTTCCAAACAATGTGTGAACGAACAATTTTTGTTGATTGCTTCCCATTTAGGGCCCCTAATCACGTATTTGTTGAATATGTAATCTAGACATATCATCCCTTAAATATTGTCAAAGGGATTGATAGCAGCATTCTCAATTTGCATGGGAATAAACAGATACAAATGGACGGACAGCCATACAAAACTATAAAGGATCTGAGTATCCTTAATAATCGTCTCCCTTATGCAAAAGATATGGAAGATCGCAAGTTCAATTTAGGGTAGCCGGGTAATTTCTATTTACGTATTTAATGGATAAGTAATCTAGACATACCATTCTTTAACGATCTCCAATAAAACAGATTTGTATAGGAATAACTTTTAAATGTCGTTTCCTTAAGCAAAAGAAATGAGAAATCCAAGTTTGGAGTACCTAACCGGGCAATGTATAGTCACATATTTATTGAATACGTAATCCGAGACCAATTTCGAAAGAAAATTCAAAGGGCTGTAACTTTTGAACTAGTAGCCCAGTCTTGGAACTGTTTGAAATTATGGATTCTACAGGCCACATTCTATAAGAAAAATTTTTTTTCCGGGTCGATCTGAGACAATTTTTTTGAGGGCCAATTCGTACTTTTTCGATCAGACTTCTCAATAAAAAGTTATAGACTAGAAAAGAAACCAATTTCATGTATTTCTTAGATACGTCTACACATATCATCCCTTATGTGTCGTTCCTTTGAGTCTAGGTGAATTGCAACACCAATTTAATGGTAGCTAGGCAACCTTTATTCAGGTACTTGTTGGATGCGCAACTTTCACATACCATCCCTTCAATACCGTCAATAAAATCAGTAGATGTATTCTCGATTTATTTGGGAATAATTTGTAAATGTGGTCGCTTTCTAAGGCAAAGGTTATGAGGGGGTTGCAAGTCAAACTTAAGGTTAGCCTGATAATGTTTGTTCACGTATTTCCTGGGTACGTTATCTATACACATATTGCCGCTTAAATACAGTAAATAAGATCGATAGATGGAAATGCTCCTGAAGAGCTTTGTTTGATCTCAAACTGCCATGGCGCTACTGATTTTCTTAAAGGCGCCACTTTTAGTCATCCAGTTTCTTGGTTTCAAAGTTCAATAAATTAAAAGCTGTAGTAAGCATGGATTCGTAATTTACAAAAACCTAAATAGACTTTATCTCTAAAATAATTAGCGAAGCCAATAATCAGAAATGAATAAAATACTATTGAAATTCCTATGGTGCGATTGTTCATGTCACCACCCGGTACATCTTCCCTTAAACATATTTAATAAGATTGGTCGAAGCATTCTCAATTTGCATATGGATGACTTTAAAGGTAATCGTTTTTCTTATGCAAAGGTTATGGAGGGTTGCAAGTTCAATTTACGGGTAACCAGTCAATGTTTATCCACGTACTTGTGGGATACGTAAAAGCATGCGTTACCCCTTAAAATAAGGGATAATATGTGTAGAATGCGTATTAAGAAATATGTGAATAAAGATTGACGGACTACACTTTAATTGAACTTGTAAATCCCCCATAACTTTTTCATATAATAAAGACTGTATTTTTACAAACTGTTTCCATACAAATCCAAAACGAATTCATCGATTTCATTGACGATATTTATGAGATGATATGTGTAGATTGCGTATCCAACAAATACACTACACTTACCCCCCCCCCCCCCAAGCTGTTGCCTATAATGAAAACAACTTCCTTTATAAATTATATCTATACAAATTGAGACTGCATCTATCAACTTTATTGACGCTACCCCACTTACACATACGTAAATAAAAATAGTGGACTATCCCAAGATTTGACTTACAACCCCAATATAACTTTTACCTAGGAAGACGATTACATTTAAAAATTACACCCATACAAATCGAATATGCATTAATCGATTTTATTACGATATTTAAGGGGGGATATGTGCGTACACATCCAACGCGTACTGTTCCTGAATGCATATATCGATCTTATTGACTTTACCTAAGGGACGATATGTGTACCTTACGTACCCAAGAAATACGTGAACCAGGTTACTCTCAAGTTTGACTTGCAACCCCCCTCATAACCTTTGCCTTAGAAACCGACCACATTTAGGAATTATTCCCAAATAAATCGCTTAAACTAACTTATTGATGGTATTTAAGGGCTGATATGTGAAGACTGCGCATCCAACAAGTACGTGAATAAAGGTTACCTGATGGCTACCCTTAAATTGGAACGCATTTATCAATTTTATAAACAACATTTAAAGGAGGGTATGTGTAGATTACGTATCCAAAAAATACTTGAATAAAAATTGCCTGGCTACCCTTAAATTGGACTTTCAATCCTCCATAACTTTTGCTTAATACGACTACATATACATGTAAAAACCATTCCCATGCAAATTAATAATGGATCTATTGATTTTATAGACTATATTTAGGGGATGATATGTGTAGATTACGTGTCCCACATATAGGTGAATAAAAATGGTCGGCTACACCTAAATTTTAACTTGCACCCCAATAAAACTGCATTTACATAAAAATCGAGTATGCATATATCGATTTACGACTTTATTACGATATGTGTTTACGGATCCAACAAGTACGTGAATTAAGATTGCCTGGTTACCCATAAATTGAACTTGCAACCCTCCATATCTTTTCCATAAGAGAAAACGACTACTACCTTTAAAAACTATTCCCATAAAGATTGTGAATGTATATCTATCAGTTTTATTGACAATGAGGATGGCACGTGTAGATTACCTATGCAACAAATACATAAAGATTTTCTTCCTACCCATCAATTTGTGGCAATCGCCACAATTTTTGCCTAAGAAAAACGATTACCTTTAAAAGTTATCCCCGTACAAATTAAGAATATGCTTCTATCAATCTTATTAAAGATATTTAAGGGATGATATATGTTTATTTTATGTAACTACATATCTAACAACTACGTGAATAAAAATTGCGTGGCTAACCGTAAATTGAACTTACAACCCTAAAAACTATTCCCATACAAATTAAGAACGTATGTATTAATGTTATTGATTATGTTCAGAGGATGATTTGTGTAGACCAGGCATATCACACTCATTTATCATTACTCAAACTGCCTATTTTAGGTATTTTTACGTAGAATCCAGTGACGTTAAAAAATTTGGATAACCGTTTTTGAGCTTTGACCCAAACTTGATATTTTCTAAATGCAACACCCTTTCTTTTTCGTTGTACATTGACGTATCATCCTATACTTTTCTATCATTATTTTTATTTCATATTTTATCAAAATTTTGAAATGACGTGTTTCTACCGTCAGCAATTTTTACTGATTGGCCTTAGTTATACTTATAATGGATACAATAAACAACAAAAAATCTCCATGAATCCTACAAGACGGACAATTTTTATTCACGTATTTGTTGCATAGGTAAGTATGTACCCACCTAATCTGCACGTGTTATCCTCATCGTCACTAAAATTGATAGATACAATCGTTTCTTTTATGCAAAACATGTTGAGGGTTGCCATTTCAATTTACGGGTAACCAGACAATCACGTACTTGTTGGATGCGTAAACACAGGTTACCGCTTAAATATCGTATAACGTCAATACATACTAATTCGATTTATATATGGGTATAATTTTTAAATCCAGTTATGTTGCAAGTAAAATGTAGGGGTATCCGACTATTTTTATTTACGATTTACGTATTTGTGGGATAAGCAATCTAAACATTTCATCCCCTAAATATAGTCTACAAAATTAATAGATGCATTATTGGTTTGTATGAGAATGGTTTTTGAATGGAGGTAGTCGTTTTATTAGGCAACAGTTATGGAGGGTTGACACTTTGACAGTTCAATTTAAGGGTAGCCGAGCAATTTTTATTAACGTACCTAAGTATTTACGTAATCTACACATGCTATTCTTTAAGAATCGTTTATAAAATTGATAGATGGGTTCTCGGTTTGTATGAAAATAGTTTTTAAATGTTAGTTTCCTTAAATAAAATGTATAAACTGTATGGAGGTTGCGTCGTCCCTTAAATTTACAATCACTATAATTGATGGATGCAATGTTAATCTGTATGCGAGTACTGTTCAAAGGAAGTCGTTTTTCATAACCAAAATTTATGGAGAATTACAAAAGAAATTAAAGGGTAGCCACGCAATCTTTGGTTAAGTAGGTACTTGTTGGATACGCAATCTACACATATCAATGTCTTAAATACCGTTAATAAGGTAGTAGATGCATTCTCGATTTATTTGAGATTAATTGTGGTAGTTTTATAAGGCAAAGGGAGAAGGAGGAGGGGGTGCAAATACATTTTGTATACGATAATAGATGCATTTTCAATTTTTATATGGTATGTTGAATGATCGTTTCTCTGATGCAAAAGATTGGAGGGTTGCAAATTCAATTTAGGGGTAGCCGGGTAATGTATATTTACATAAACAATTAGATACGTAATCTACACATGTCATTCTTTAAATATCGTCAATAGAGATGCATTCTAGGGTTGTATTCGAATCATTGTTAAATGTAGTGGTTTTCTTAGGCAAAAGTTATGGCAGATTGGAAGTATAATTTAGGGGTAGCCGGGCAATGTAGTTGTTGGATGGGTATACACATTACATATCACCCTTAAATATATCGTTATCAAATCGATAGGATTCCGTAGTAGTATAGGGATAATGTTCTCTTAGACAAAAGTTTCGGAGGTTTCCATCAAGTTCAACTTAGGGGTAGCATAGCAAGATAATGTTTATCCACATATTTGTTAGATGCGTAATGTACGGATTGACATCCTGCATTATTGGGGGTATTTTCCTTATTTTATTTATGAACAGTATGCACCGTGGCACTGATCCATGGCGGACTGGGGAGAATAAGTGACCGCATTTGAAATGGACGTCATACTTTTAATTTTCTAGTTATCCGGATGAAAAGAGTAACAACTTGTAGGAAACGAACGGAAGTTTTATTATAATACAAAAGAAAAACAAATTATCAAGAAGACCAGCGGTTAAATGCCCTCTTTCATTAGTGCGACATTTCTGCAGTTGGTGTGTTGAAGCTCCGAAAAGTTTGCCGTTTATCCGCTCATTATTACGGCCCTTTCAGGGCGAATGAACGATGTTTGAGCACTCCAATGAGATATCGTAAGTAACTTCCCAAACAAGTCCATCTACATGCCACGGTCAACGACTCTTTCAAACATGATCCATCCTCTTTTTAGCGCATTTTTGCAAATTTATTTGTAAAAAGTAGGTAGCTTTTAAGGGCTACATGATGTGATGTGGGGTTGGCGACATCTGGACGTCATCCTCGAGCGTAGTTTACTAACGTGAAGGTTTTTCAGTATTTTCCTATCTTCACTATCGCCACTGGTTATAAACTGCTTTTTTTTGAGCCCCGAAAAAAAAATTGTCTCAGATCGACCCGGAAAAAAAAATTTCTTATAGAATGTGGTGGCCTGTAGAATCCGTAATTTCAAACAGTTCCAAGATTGGGCTACTAGTTCAAAAGTTACAGCCCTTTGAATTTTTTTTCGAAATTGGTTTCTAGTGTATAACTTTTAATTGAGAAGTCTAATCGAAAAGTACGAATTGTTTTGGATTCTATGCACCAAAATTAATAAGAAAAAGTGTTTTCCCGAGAAATTTTGGTGTAGTCGATTTTTGGTAAAAAAGGAAGGTTATAAACTGCTTTTTTTTGAGCCCCGAAAAAAAAATTGTCTCAGATCGACCCGGAAAAAAAAATTTCTTATAGAATGTGGCCTGTAGAATCCATAATTTCCAACAGTTCCAAGATTGGGCTAGTAGATCAAAAGTTACAGCCCTTTGAATTTTCTTTTGAAATTGGTTTCTAGTCCATAACTTTTGATTGAGGAGTCTAATCGAAAAAGTACGAAATGTTTTGGATTCTACCCACCAAAATTCATAAGAAAAAGTGTTTTCCCGAGAAATTTAAAGTAATCTCGAATCGCTGTCTCTCTTTCTCGTGGCGCCAATAGAAGCTTGAGCAATGAGAAGTGCCTCAAAAATGAAGTACTATCTTGTGGAAGGTTTTTAGCGAAATCCACCAAAATGTGGGTGTAATATAAGTATGCACCGAATAAGGAAATGTGGTAGCCTCCGACAAGATCTTCCTGATGGTGGAGTCTAATCTTCAAACGGGAATTGCGAGTGAACGGGACGTTGGAAGTGGGTACCAACAAAGGGAATGTGGTAGCCCCCGACACGATCTTACTTCGATCTTATCTTACTGATGGTGGAGTCAAATCTTCAAACGCGCATTGGAAGGGAACGGGACATCGGAAGTGGATACCGACAAAGAGAATATGGTAGCCCCCGACAAGATTTTACTGACTGTGGAGTCAAAACTTTAAACGCGAATTGCGGGTGCACGCGGAAAGTTGGAAGCGGGTACCGACAAAGTGAATGTAGTAGCCTTCGACAAGATCATTTATTGATGGTTGAGTCAAAAGTTGCTAATAGAATACTGATCTGCCACACAAAAATGCGCTGAAGTCCCTTCGATCTCACACGAGGCTTTGATAATTTTTCCGCAGGTATTGTTTTACCCTGTATTTGACATAATTTGGCAACCCTGGAGATTTGTTTTTTTATTAAGGGTGGGGTTCATTACTTGATGTTTGAGGTTAGTTTAATGAAAAACAAAAACTTGTCAATATTTAAAATTATAAACATTCCGTTTAAAGTGTAATCGATGATTAATTATTTAATAAATTAAGTTCTTAAAAAGGGATATAGAAATGTCGAAAAATAAGCTAAATTTAACTCTTCCCCCGGGTTCCATAGATCAAACTCCTTCTGTTACACCAACAAGTGTACCATTTCAGGAAGCCTCGGGGTAAGTAATTTGATCTACGCTTACCAATTCTCTATGAATTATTTTAAGGGCCAGTAATTTAGTTCGCAAATCCAGTATCGATAACCTAACCGCGCGCCTCGAAGAGCTGGATATGGACGACATGCAACGGAAACGGATTGAAGTGTTCCTATGTCAGAAAGAAAAAATTGGGGAGCTTAGCGAAGATGATTTTGAAAAGTTAGGCGAACTGGGATCTGGAAATGGCGGTGTCGTTATGAAAGTTCGTCACAAATCAAGTCGTCTTATAATGGCACGAAAATTAATTCACTTGGAAGTGAAACCGGCTATTAAAAAACAGATTATACGTGAACTAAAAGTTTTGCACGAGTGTAATTTTACGCACATCGTCGGGTTTTACGGCGCATTTTATAGTGACGGTGAAATTAGTATTTGTATGGAGTACATGGATGCCGGATCTTTAGATTTGATTTTAAAGAAAGCGGGCCGAATACCTGAAAATATTTTAGGCAAAATCACTTCGGCCGTTCTGAAAGGCCTAAGTTATTTACGTGATAAGCACGCCATAATGCATAGAGATGTAAAGCCCAGCAACATTTTGGTGAATAGTTGCGGTGATATTAAGATATGTGATTTTGGAGTTTCTGGTCAACTAATCGATTCTATGGCAAATTCGTTTGTTGGTACCAGAAGTTATATGTCTGTAAGTGTTTGTATAGCCACGATGTCAATGCTACAGATAGCTCATCCTATGTGAACAGTTGGCTAAGGTGATTTATGGAATTAAGTAGTCTTATAGTAGAATTCGCTTCCGTAGTAGTTTAGAATTAGACTGAAATTGTTTGGAATTAGTGTATAAGTTTTTAGGGCTCAGTGTGCCTCTCAATCTTGAGTCTCTTTAAAAATCAGTGTCACAAACTGCAAGAACAAATTTCGGTTTCTCGATTTTCCTATGTCATGAGCTATCTGTAGTACATTTGCATGTTGATTATAATAGCTTCCTAATGTAAAACTACTTCTTGGTTTTAGCCTGAACGACTGCAAGGGACACATTATTCAGTACAGAGTGATATTTGGTCCTTAGGTTTATCATTAGTAGAAATGGCCATTGGCATGTACCCAATTCCGCCACCCGACACCAAGACAATTTCTGCAATATTTGGATTACACGATGGGGATTCACCAAGTCATTCGAATGGCCCACGCCCTATGGCCATATTTGAATTATTAGATTATATTGTAAATGAACCACCACCGAAATTACCTTCGGGATTCTTTAGCTCCGAGTTTAAGGATTTTGTTGATCACTGTTTAAAGAAGCATCCAGATGAACGTGCCGATTTAAAAACTTTGATGGTAAAGTTACTCTTTGTGTCCATTATTTTATGATGTTCGTTTTAGAACCACGAATGGATCAGAAAGTCAGAGTCTGAAAATGTCGATATAGCCGGATGGGTTTGTCGAACAATGGAAATCGAACCAAATTCCAATCACAGGTCATAAATGTTTTCAAAAAGTAATACCTTTATACAATTTGTTAATATTTATTGCGCATTCATTTCAGGTTTAAGCAAGTATTTTAAACAGTGTCGAGAAAACTACAGAGAATTCCTTCAGAGTACCCGATTTTCCAGGCAAATAGTTGAGATTTATTTATGTGGAATACAAGATGCCTCATTTAAATGAAACATCAATTAATCTATATTGATCTTTTACTCAAATGATGCATCTGGTACCGTTTCTATTGTTACTTAATACTTCCCGTAACTGTTGATGTAATTTTATTAACAAGTTATTGAATTATATTAAAATTCGCGCTGTGTTTGTTTTTCACTACATCACATATTTCAATTTGTGTTCAAATCAGTAATTATATCGAGAATATAATAGGAAATAATGAGATAATGCTGTATCTTTAGGTTGTAAAATAGGTGTATCTCTTTAGTTTGAATTTCTTGACGTTTACTTAGACCTAGTGCTTGAATGAATGTATGTACCTCATTATGTTCTATTATACTGTATCTTATAATGCAAGGAATACTGTTAATGTATAAGCTGGGCACAACTAATCCATAGTAAAGTGCCACGTACTCTTAACTGTCGAACAAATAATATACGGTTTGCAGCTAGTGATGTTAAGTGAAAACTATATAAAATAAATGTATTTTATTGAAAGCACTTATTATTGCACCTGATATTTTCTTATTAGCTCCCTTGACAATTTGAGAACATTTGGAAAAAAAGGCGTTTTTGGTTTTTAAGTGGGTGGGATTTCAGCTGAGGCTGCTGTTCCAACCCAACCCAAACATAGATAGAACAATCTGTCGAATTGACAACTGGTATGTTGTTTGACTCTCTTGGATGAGGTCTGATCAGTATCTCCGCAAATGGTAAGGAGTAGCTAATATATTTATAGTCATCCCACTTTCACCCATGTCAATTGTCACAACATTTACGCAGTGAGCTACCGGAACAGAAATGTACCATTTAAAACCTGCTATTGTGCAAGTGCAGGCACTCCCAATGCACACTTTCTAGCATCAACATGATAAGAATTTGATTAAGAGTCGTGGGTGTTTGCGTCCTTCATTTCGGTGCCCTCCAGCCCCAGTGTGTAACCTCCACCTGTAACTACTTTTGTATCAGGTGGTCCTCCGGAACACATGGTGACCCTAAGCCACTGAAGATAGTACTAAGACGTTAACTTGATTTGCATATAATCCAGACATCCGTAAGACTATAAGAGTCCTGTCTTATACTGTCTGCACGGTGTTACAATCAGCCCCTGGGATTGGAGGGCGGCGCATCTATTCTATTCATGAGGGGAGCTTGTTTACCAGGCCCACTATACCTATCCCCTTTCTACAACCAGATTCAGAGCCTGTTCCTCTAAATAAAGTATAGGACACTGTTAAGCATAAGTTGCTTATCACCCTCCGCGGTTATAGATAACTGTCGCCAAGAAGCTGATGTCTGTCTCTGATCAAATAAGCGTCACGGCGACAGACCACATGTTGTTAGTTTCAGGTACCTCGTCACAAAACCTGCACGTAGGCCCTCTTACAAGCCCAATCTTGTGCAGGTGATAGTTGACCATCCAGTGTCCCGTGAGCTGTACACAGGTGATCTTCCTAGTCTGTGTTTTAGAAACTAGAAACCCAGATTTGCCAAAGGGGTCTGGACTGTGAGTCTGGTTGCTTGTTGCCACAGAGCTAATTGACAACACAGGGAGCAATTCCTAGGGTAGGCTCTGACCCGACGCAGACCCTATATTATTCCTATGAAAATGGAATTGCGATAAAAAATAATTCATTTGAAATTATGTACTTACTTACAAGCCCAATTCTTTAGTGTATTAGCGAATTCCATTCGCAATTAATATATAATTGAAGCACTTAATCCGTTGAGCTTATTTCATTTATGATTATCCAGATAAAAAATTGAATTCGCAGTTCCAACAGAATTAAAGCCCTTTGTTTAATATTAACATTTTATTTCTTTTGTTGCGTTTTTATTTTGTGCGTTTATTTAATAGGATTAATTAGGTATGACATTAAAAAAAATTAAATATCAAGCAATTAAAAAATAGCAACAAAAACCTAATAAATTTGTTACCCAGTCACAATTTTGGTTCATGGAGGAATGGTGTCCCGGAATTCAACGTGGTCATTGTGGTAACCCTATGCTAGACTGATAAGTGTATGAACACTAGTGCCAGTACTGCTTTTAGCGTACATTGCTGTTACTACCTCTAAGATCATTTCTTGCCATTATAGCTAGCCTGCTTGATACAAGGGGGAATACCACTGGATTCTGGATTTTGGGCAGATGGATGGAATACAGGCGAGGAGACGGAGACTGTAAATTAAACAAACACCTATAGAGTATGAGCTTCATATTCTATATGTGTTTGTTTAATTTATAGTGGCCAGAAGGTTTGCCTGGGAGCAAGCGCAGGTTTTTCTTTGATAACCCTGTAGAAAAGCGCGCAAGATGGTCGTGCGACTGCGCCCCCCCTTGATACCATTACAAGTCCCAACGGCACTGAGAAGACGTGGACACCCCCCTGCTTTATACAATTTTTGGGAAAGCATAAATTAGTTTTAGTACCCCAGAGCTCCCATATTTCTTGATTCCTCATAAGTATTTGTTTGTACATTAAATGATCAATGAGATAAGTAAGCACCATTATACTTATACCTTATACCAAAGAGTAACTAATAACTTTGCTTATACCGTTGTTTATTCATTTTTAAATAAACAAATTGGAAGACATTAGGTTTTAGGTCGTATTGAAATAAAAGTAGGTATAATGTTATTTGTTTTCCTTAATTTTTACAGTGTAGATAATAAGAAACAAAGGGGTACTAAATTAAGAGAGTTTTACCAAAATATTTGTTTAAACAAAGCCCAAAATAAGCAATGTATTACCAGCGCCATCTAGTGGAAAAAACGCGAAATCATATTTAAGATTATAACCATTTGTTTTCAGGTTGGCACTGCATGTTTCCCAACCTTGCTGTCAGTCGCTTTCTTTTGGAAACGTGGTGTAGCTGAGGGTTGCACGTAGTTTTATTTATATTATACGATATCCGATTTTATTTTTATTAATCGGTAAGTTTTTTTAGTAAAAAACGCGAAATTGTTATAATTCCGTGTATATGTGACCAATTGTGCGCTATATTTATGCTGTCTCAAATTATTTTCCGCGATTAATTGTTGTTGTATTTTAAGGTTAGAAGATGGGACGTTACGCTAGAGAACCAGAAGTGGCTGCAAAAACATGCAAGGCGAGAGGATCAAATCTTCGTGTACACTTTAAGGTAGGTGTATTATAAGACTACTGTCGGACCGAGTTATTGTAAAATATTTTGGTTTAAAAAGAAGTGAGCGTTGGTCGAAATTGTGCTGTATTTAGCCGAATGCCTCTATTATTATCGGCTAGACATAAGTCACAACCTTTCGCCTTTGTTCAACGTAAGAAGACTTATTGGCACGTTGTCAATGGGCTGAAATTCATAAGATATACAATGTATTGATGCAAGTCGAACCAATACAGGAAGTATAAGCTTTCATCCCAAGTTTTGGCAAAAGGATTTGGGGATTGAAGCCAACTCTACTGTTACTGCTACTTGTTAATGCATTTCATATTAAACCTTGTAATTGCGCGTCTGTTAACTATGAGTGATTTGGGATATCGACAAATTCGGTTTTAATAATGAGGGTGCCTACTCTGGTAGCTCCTTTAATTAGTTGATTATCTTCTAATATCGATATAACTACCCCTTAAACTAGAAGAATTTTGATTAAATTAAGGCCACATAGCACCTCAAATTTTGCACGATTTTAATTATTGATAAACTGGGTACAATCATTATGTACTGGTGGCATTGTCTGTGTACCATGTCACAATAATTAAAATGTGAAAGTACAAGCCAATAAGAGCGCCTTTTTTCACCCCCATTCTGGAGTAGGAATTTTTGGGAAATTTTTACAAAAGTACTCCTTATAAAGCCAGTTCATGTCCCCTTTTCATGTGTTATGGTAGTGAGAAATTTTAAATTCCAAAAACTAGTACAGTTTATTCTCATTAAAGAAACCCAGATACCAAATTTCAGCAAGTCAGAATTTTTTTGCATCCCCCATTTAGGGGTAGGAAGTCCTTGGCTTATTAACGAGCTCCTAAGCGTGTTCATGATTGTGAACTCTCTGTGTACATGATAACTCGCGAACGGTTTCAAATTTTCCAATCCTGTTCTCAGTAATAGGTAGACAATGGTCAAGGGACTAACCGATTAAATTTTGGACTTTCTGTCTGTCCGTCTGAGTACATGATAACCGTAGAAGGCCGTTTAATGTCTTATTTCATAGATATTTTTAAAATATGGCAAAACTTTGACTAAAAAACTTCTGTGTTTCAGAATACCTGTGAAACTGCAAACGCGATTCGAAAGATGCCATTGAAGCGCGCCTTTACGTACTTGAAAAACGTTATCGGCCACAAGGAGTGCGTTCCGTTCAGACGATTCAATGGAGGAGTTGGACGTTGCGCGCAAGCGAAACAGTGGGGCACCACCCAAGGGCGCTGGCCAAAGAAATCGGCAGAGTTCCTATTACAGATGCTTAAAAATGCCGAAAGCAACGCGGATTACAGCGGTCTGGACGTCGATAGATTAGTTATCGAGCATATTCAAGTAAATCGCGCCGCCTGTTTAAGAAGACGCACATATCGCGCGCACGGCAGAATCAACCCCTACATGTCCTCACCTTGTCACATCGAAATGTGGCTAACGGAAGCGGAAAGCTCTCCCGAAGCAGGCAAAGGCAAAAAGAAGAAGGGCGGGAAAGAAGGTGCAGATAAATCGGCCAAGCGAACGAAAGTAACGGGTGCAGTTACACATTAAATATATATTTTTTTTGTCAAATAAAGCATTATTGTCAAATTGTTTATTTAAAAAAATTTGTTCGAGTTTTGGTGTGAATATTTTTATGACTTATTTTGTGGTGTATGGAATTCGAAACCAGACATTTTCTTGTGGCTCCAATTTGCTCAAATAGAATTTCACAAACTACCCAATACATTCATCGATTTTTATTTATGGGGCACTTATTTGCAATTTTTAAAATTCTCTTTTAAGATATGTAGCGTTATGAAGAGAGCTACACAAGAATGTAGGAATTTCCAAATTGCACTTGAAATTTCGAGTTCAATGCCCAAACTAACTGTTTTGATTTTTGAGTATGTTGGGATCTGTACCAGTATGTATACCCACGTTTGAAGCTTTGAATAACTTGCTAGAAGCGTGACATCACTTCCTAAACTACGCAATTTTACGACTTGTTCAAAGAGACCTTTTAAAGTAGATTAAATTTTAGTCGAAACTAGCGGACCTCTGTATCTCAGGGGATGCGCACCGCCCCCATTGAAGGCTTTTAAGGAACGAAGTGCTTTCAATTCAATTGCATTTGCATATGAATTGGACCCGATTTATTTATAAGGTGCATAATGACATTTTTATAATTTTGGATTATTTTACTTTGCGAACTTCCAACCATGTTTAAATAGATACTTATCACAAATGAATGGGAGTTCAAGTACAATTACTACTTGCTCACTAAAGTCTTAATTGAAAGAAATTTTATTAAAAAAATACACACTGCCAATATTAATTAAAAGACTGAATGATCAACTTAATCAAAGCATAGTTCTCAGTACAACGTTTCGTAACAAACTTGGTATCCATTAATGAGAATGGAGGCCCAATTTTAAACCTTTTTTGAAAATACATAGAACTAATTACTAACATTGAAGACTTAATTACACAGACCTTTTAGAGTCATATCATTGAATAATAAATTATTTATTCAATGGTCATATCATAAAAAGTTTTTTATGTTCTATATATACAAATTGGCATAAAAACATGCCCGCTTTTCAGTCATCGAGTATGATGAGTTGCCTATACATCAGGCTACACATCCTCAACACCCACCATATCGCATTTTTATAGTATATATTCAAATTTTGAAGCCTTTCAGCATACGTAGGGGCATTTCATTATATTTTAAATGATTCAAACAAGTAAAATAGCGGTTTTATAATACGAAAAGCATTCAATTTTTCCGCGCGTAAACACATAGGAACTGTTGGGTACATGAAAAGATAATAAAATAATAAAAGTACACAGCAACCAATTAAACGCCAAAGTTTATGTGTTTTGTAATTTTGTTTACGTGTACCGCCTAAATGTAGCAAAATTATATGCTATTTGTTTATTACGGTGGGTCCTGCCATTGTTTTAAACAATGGTCCTGCCTAAAATTTAAAAAATATATCGTGCTGACATCTAATGTTAGTTTGATGAATCGAATTATATCGGAAGTCGTATTACGTGCAGTTTTCTATTAAAGTGTGGCGAGATCTGAATTTTTGGCAACTTGCCTTCAGTCCACTATATTCACAACAGATGTCAGAACGATGCATTTTATGAAATTTGGTGCTTACCGTAATTATTACTTTCATAGAGTAAATAATATATACTCTATGTTACTTTACATTTAGGCAGTACAAGTTAATTCAATGGTACAAGATAAAAAACCACATAAACTTCAGCATTTATAATTGGTTGCTGTGGACTTAATTAACGTTTCATCATTGCCTTTCATTTACAAGTGTAACGATTGATTTGTTTACGCGCGGAAAGAATGAATACATTGATATTGTCATGTTATAGAATCGTATTTTCATCATTTTAAATTTAATGAAAATGCCGTACGTAGGGTTAATGGCTTCAAAATTATAATATATACTTTAAAAATGTATAAAAATGCGATATGGTGCGCGTTTGAAATGTGTAGCCTGATGGTAGGCAACTCGTCATACTCGATGTCTGAAAAACCGGCCATGTTTTTTGTAATGTTGTATATATAGAACAAAAATCTGAAGTCCGAGGACCAGGAGAACATAAACCCCAGAAGCATTAATTGTCATACTTTTACTCCCTAAAACAAGACTTGTTAATTTGAGTTAATTGAGACCTACAGACCACATTCTATAAGAAAAATTTTTTTCCGGGTCGATCTGAGACAATTTTTTTTTCGGGGCTCAAAAAAGGCAGTGTATAAAAAGGCAGTGTATAACCTTCCTTTTTTACCAAAAATCGACTACACCAAAATTTCTCGGGAAAACACTTTTTCTTATTAATTTTGGGTGCGTAGAATCCAAATCAATTCGTACTTTTTCGATCAGACTTCTCAATCAAAAGTTATAGACTAGAAACCAATTTCGAAAAAAATTCAAAGGGCTGTAACTTTTGAACTAGTAGCCCAATCTTGGAACTGTTTGAAATTATGGATTCTACAGGCCACATTCTATAAGAAAATTTTTTTTTTCCGGGTCGATCTGAGACAATTTTTTTTTCGGGGCTCAAAAAAAGGCAGTGTATAACCTTCCTTTTTTACCAAAAATCGACTACACCAAAATTTCTCGGGAAAACACTTTTCTTATTAATTTTGGTGCGTAGAATCCAAAACAATTCGTACTTTTTCGATCAGACTTCTCAATCAAAAGTTATAGACTAGAAACCAATTTCGAAAAAAATTCAAAGGGCTGTAACTTTTGAACTAGTAGCCCAATCTTGGAACTGTTTGAAATTATGGATTCTACAGGCCACATTCTATAAGAAAATTTTTTTCCGGGTCGATCTGAGACAATTTTTTTTTGAGGGCCTCAAAAAAAGGCAGTGTATAACCTTCCTTTTTTACCAAAAATCGACTGCACCAAAATTTCTCGGGAAAACACTTTTTCTTATTACTTTTGGTGCGTAGAATCCAAAACAATTCGTACTTTTTCGATCAGACTTCTCAATCAAAAGTTATAGACTAGAAACTAGGGAATGCAATACCGGGATTGCGGGATCCCGAAATACAGGGATCCCGCAGCATTTTTGCGAGATTAATCCCGCACATAAATGGAGCGGGATCCCGCGGGATTTGCGGGACTGAGGAATTTGTCGACCAAGGGGACGACTCTGTTTACTTTGTTAATGAAACTGATAACGGCGAATTATTTTTTAAATAATTGTTAAACTTTTTTCGTTAAAAATGTACTATGATTTTTGAGGCACTTTAGAAGACTTTTTGTGCTTTACAGGTAAGGTTTTTTTGAGTTCTAAGTTAGGCCGAAGGTACTTTTTTGTTAAATATTGTGATAATTAGCGATTTATTTTAATACAGAAGTTAACCGCACAGAATTGCTTATTTGCCAATTTATTTAAAGTTTTGCGAGATCCCGCAAATACCGGGATCCCGCGGGATTAACATCTAACAATCCCGCAAATACCGGGATTGAGATTTTGCTGCGGGATTGCATTCCATAGGTGGCAGTTTAGGACTGTCGCTTACGTAAAAAAAGAAAAAAAGGGAAAGTGTTACAATCTGCTAAGTAGTTGGACACAGTAGTGATGCCCCCAAGGTTTGGTTGCTATCATCACTTCTGTGGAACTTCACTGTAAACAGCATCCTGTCGCCTCAATTACAGTGACTACGCGCCTGGGAAGTGCGGACGATATATCCACATTAATAACCGGATGCAATCAGCTCTTATAGTAACCGAAGAATGGTGTAGGGAACACTCCTTGTCCATCAATCCGACACAAACGGCGCTAGTTCTCTTCACAAGAAAAATAAAGTTAGAGGGCCTTCGAACTCCCCTGCTATTTCAAGAGCATCTCCAATTTTCAGAGTTGGAATCAGACTTGACAAAAAACTGAATTGGAGGAAACATATGTACCTACCCAGCTCAAAGGCGAAAAAGCAAATGTTGGGCTTTCTGGCCGCGCAATTGGGCGACTCGAAGGCTGTCTTAAGATGTGTTATGCTTTGAAGCAATTGTTTGATGGTCTACACTCTCTACATCTAATCATGTGCAAAGACTTGCATGCCTTGTTTGCACGTACAACTCCCACCAGAGTTGGACTGGGTCATTGGGTCACTGGGTCAACTGGGTCACCTGGGTCACTAAATTAAACTGGGTCACTGGGTCGCTGGGTCACGTCATACTCTTTTCAGTTAGACCCAGTTTGACCCAGTGACCCAAATTGACCCAGTTTGACCCAGTGACCCAACTTGACCCAGTTTGACCCAGTGACCCAGTTTGACCCAGCGACGCAATTTCACCCGGGGACCCAATTCGACCCAGTCACCTAGTTTGATTGAATAACGCAGTTAAGTCAGTGCCCTCGGTTCAAGTGTACAGATTATGCAATAAATGAAATGCTGGTTTGTTGAAAATAATACTCGATTGCTTGACAACTGCCATTTCTGTGATGTTTGCTTTAATACTGCCGTAAAAAACTTTCCATGTCCCGAATTGTATTAGAATAATGTTATTTCTTTGCTTCAGGGCTTACCAGTTTGCTTACAGGTGTTCATTCACATTTAATTTTTTTCTACTAGTTAGCTTAATCCAAATAAATCTTTTCTCTAAATACTTTCATTGACTACTTGACTACAAACTATAAACAAATGCATTTGATTTTTTTAGGTATTATTAGTGCTCTTGAATGAAATTGGGCTACGTGCTTGTTGCCGAATATTATTGAGGAAGTTTTTTTTAAAATTAAAAGTTACTTGAAATTGCTTTGGATGATACCTAACAATAATTTAATTACTGTGCTACCGGGTCAGGACGGGTCACTGAGTAAAGCTGGGTCAAGATGGGTCACTGGGTCAAGCTGGGTCACCGGGTCAAGCTGGGTCACCGGGTCACCGGGTCAAGCTGGGCCACTGGGTCAAACTGGGTCAAGCTGGGTCACCGGGTCAAACTGGGTCAAGCTGGCATAATTGCAAAAATTGTTTTGGAAAGAGCCCCAAACTAGCTGTCTTGGTAACGCACTTTATTTAATCTAATACATTTTGACGAGCTAAATAATTAATGTGAAACGAAATAAATACACTAAATGCAATAATATGATAAGTATGATGACGGCACTGCTGTAATTTAGCAAAATGTTTATAAATACTGGGCCTTAAACTCCTTGTACACGTCTTCTAATACTGTAGCTTCCGTACTGGGCCATTTTTTTCTTGTGCACCTTTCTGTGTTTAGCCAAATGATCCGAACGAGCAAACGCCTTTTCGCAAAGTTCGCACTTGTAGGGCTTAACGCCCGAGTGCGATCGAGTATGCCTGGCCAGTTCGTCCGACCTCGAAAATCTCCAATTGCAATTTTGCCAATTGCAAGCAAACGGTTTTTCGCCGGAGTGCCTTCGCAGGTGAGCCTTCAGGTGGGAAGATTTAGCGTAGATTTTGTCGCAAGTTTGTATCGGGCACGGGAAATACTTATCGTCGTCCGCCTTCTTTTGCGTGTAGTCGTGATTCAGTAGAGCGTCAGGTTTTTTGCTGCTAAAACGGACTTTATCACCACCTCTGTGCTTGTTATCTTTTGGATTGTAAGAACTTTCGTAGAGCAGCGCTCTTCGTCTTCTATTTTTTTCCTCGGTTATGTAAGGAAACATGTTTATTATCTGGACCGGGTCTGCAGGTGCCGGTGTACCAATATTGATTTCCACATTTTCCGACATTTCGTTGAAGAAGTTGAAGTCGAAGGTTTCGTAAAAGAAATCCTCAATTCGTTGACTAAATTTTTTACTACCTGTATCCCCGTCAGTAATGTTAATGTCCAACACATTGTCGGCGTCTTCTTTATCTAAGGTGTCATTATCGAAGTACAGAAGGTCTAAATCAACCCCTAAAACTGAGAATGTCTCTTCTGGTTTCGATAGATCCTCCGAGAGAATGACCTGTTGCGAGTTTTTTTCTGTTAGCATTGTAAATTCGTACTCTAAATCGTTTAAATCTAGATTTAATACCGTGCTGGCTTGAGGTGGTTCATTGCACAAACTTTCACTTTCTGAACTTTCTATTAAGTTGTTACCACCGCAATCTCCTAAGTTTTGCACTGAATCGCTTTTGCCGAAGAACAAGAACTCGTCCAATTCCTTGGCTTGGAGCTCACTATTTGATTGATTTAAGGTGCAACAGAAGCCGTTGGTATCCAAGGTGTGTTCGTAATGAAATTCAGAATGTTCGACCGGCGGCATTTTTTAAACGCGAACTGCATCCAGACGTCATACGCGCAACTGGTAATTTGAACACTACTTTATGTTATATACTCACGAACAAATCACTAATCACTGTCGGAAATTTACATATTCGTAAATTGAAACGCTTTATCTGATCTGTTCTGGGTATAATTATTATTATAAATATTAACGTTACAGTCAAGTGTCGAAAGTGTATCTGGACGATATTTATATAGAATGCTCTTGGGACTATAATTTCGTCAATTCAATTATATGTTAGTGCTGGTGTCAACTGCTGCCTAGCACAAAACTTAATCTTGTATATGTTTCATCCCTCGAGACTATTTAGGAATATTTTTTCAAACATTATCTGCAGTAGTAAATATTTTTTGATTAGAGGACGTACGGACATAACACTTGTAGCATTTCGAAAATGTACCTAATTTGTAACAAGCTTGGGTTTTCCGACCTGCATTAAAAGTTGAACGAGAGGTTTTCACTACTGGATTCAATTTGTATGAGTAGTGGTCATGTGCTCGACTAGGTTTATATGAACTTTTTAGAACTACTGAATTACTGATATTGTCAGGAAATAACGATAAATTACGACAATGTGGAGATATTTGCCAGTACAGACTTTATTCACAACTCAGATAATTAAGTGTCTGATTAGTAATTCAATACATTCATTAACGAATCACATTTTCTAATGCGCTTTAATATAACATTTTTCTGCTTCATTCACATCTACGACGCGTGATTCAATTGCGTGTAGTAGAGATTCTGCATAAATATTTGACGTTATTTATTTGGAGCTAGTCTGTTACGTATTCCTGAAATATACAAATAGTCTCTTTTAGATATCTTGGGAAATTTATTTATCTTACGCAATCGTTCACATAAATTATTAAGAAGTAGTTTTTATTTAAATAATCAATACTAAAAATAGATTCCAATTTTAGAAAATTGCTTCAATTTTTACTAGCAAAAAATCAAGCTAATGGGATAATCGTGTATTGACAAATGCGAGGATGTTGTGCATTCCTTTCCGCCGAATCAGTGATAAGACAAATTATTTATATCCACCATACAAGTAATGCAATGCGTAAACTTCTAATGAAACTATAACTATTGCATTTTTAATTTAAAGTGACGCACTTTCCAATGCACACAATTGGAGGCCCATAGTAAGGGTCTGTTGGCTTTAAAAACTGAGTAGCCAAACTATAATCGCGTTGACTCTAAGAGGGAAAAAATGGTCAAAATACGAAAATTGATTAAAGCCGAATCAGTCACTGTGGCGTGACCTCACTGCACTAATGCAGACTGATATTTGCGCACAATGACCTCAAACGCAATTGTCTATCGCATAATTTAGACTAATTTGCTGAACAAATAATGGATATTTAAACTTGATCCCATACGTAATCAACAATTACCTATAGCCAAAGGTCCTATGTATTGTTGAGTAATTGGAAATGTGGCGAGACAATACAAACTCTTGACTCTGTTAAAATATACCCTCAATATACCTCATTCTATGAAAACTCGTTTTTGTTATATCCCTGTCGTTTTCTGAAAATCCAGTTCCGAAAAATCACGGTCACGAAAACACCGGAAAGATTTGGATCTAATAAACCCCTAAAGCGGATCTAAAAAAGCGACAGAGCAACTCGGTGTGACCCTACGTTGGATTTGACCCATTTTTATTAAGCTTAATTGTTACATGTGGCATATACTTACGTCAACTGTGCCCTCGGAGTCATTGGATTTGACCCATTTTCAATAGGGTTATTACTTGTGGCATATAGGTCAACTGGGCGAAGTTTGAACCGAATCGGTCCAAGCGTTCGACAGTTATCGTGTTCACGGACGGACAGACGGACACCATCGACTCCCCTATAAAGCTTGCATCGCTTTGCTCTGCTGCTTAATAAACTGAACAACGAGCGACAAGGTCACTACTGGTTGACGAGTATTGACCAAAATTGATCAGTTAGTCCCTTGAGCATTGTTTACCTATTACTGAAAACAGAATTGGAAAATTTGAAACCGAGATATTTTGCGTGCAGTTCAACTACAGAAACGATGCACTGAAATCAAATCTCAAAGCGATTATAGTAGTGACCGAAAATCAGAGCAAAAAGTTCGAAAAATCACGTTAATTTTGTTAAACCCTTAAACGGGATCGACAGAACTAAAAAAGATTGTAGAATGACTAATTATTGATTAAAGTGCCCTTTACGGATATTTTCCTAAAAGAAAATGATACGCAGCGCCATTGTTCACAACCCATCTTCGTCCCCTTCTTCATATTTTTATATATCAATACAGAATACAGCATTTTGCACTCAGGTGTGAAAGTATCAAAGACTTTAAGAAGAAAAGAGAACAAACGCCCTTTTCGAAAAGAAAACTACCTGGACTCATAGCTGGGAAGTAATCGATTACAATTATTGTAATTGATTACAGTATTTAATTACTTTCTGTGTAATCAGTAATCAGTAACTAAATACTATTAAAGTACTGTAATCAGTATTGTAATTTAATTACTTTTCTCAGTAGTAATCTTAATTAGTAATCATATTGTAATCATGAGTACAAAAGTAATCATGGTTACTAACGTAATCACGAACACTAAGGTAACCATGATTACAATAGAGTAATTTAGGTATCTACCTCTATGTCTGTTGTACTTATTTGTTTTGATTCTATTAGTTGATAAAGTACTGTGTAATTTCGCCTATTTTTAACATGCTTATTTAGTAAAAATTAGGTGTAGCAGGTACATAAATTCCAATTTCTACTTCCAATCAAAGTGCATCGGTTACTATAGATCTTTAACTTACTTATGGAATATCTGACTTTATCGAAATATCTTTAAAATATCAATGAACGTTAAAAAATATGGATACGTGTAAGATGTACCTACATAAGTTTAAGAATAAAAGTAATTGTAATTACAATGCTAAAGTAATCGATTACAATTGTAATCAGTAATCGAATACAAATTTTCTGAAGTAATCAATTACTGTAATTAAATACTTTTATGACAAACAATTGTAATCAGTATTCGATTACTTTTTTTACGTTTAGTAACCATGATTATTATTAACTATTTTAAGTTTTACAATACAAACTTTTTAAATTTAATTCGACGTGGAACTGATTCAGCAAAATACAATAGCGAAGCAACACCTTTCTTTACATATAGTTATTATTTCACTAAAAATTAGCCTGCATACCGTTGACAGGATAAAATTGGTATATGTATGTATATTTTTTTAATTTTTCAAGTTTAAAGGAATTTTGCTGTTTTAGTACAATACGTATGTTTTTTTTGTTTAGTAGAATCTCGTGATGTAATAACAAGTATGTATTTTCTTGTATTTTTTCCATTGACATAGTTTCTGTATTGGGTTAAAGCAATAAATTCAAATTATTAAAACTTGTAGCTATCCTATTATTTCGGACCTGATCATTTCCAGTACAAGCGCGAGTTGCACATAGTAGCAGGTCGAAAGAAAAAGTGAAAGGAAATGCTGCTATGCGACAAATGAAGACTTCCCTTTGATTTATCTGGGGGGAAAAAAAGAAAAAAACTATACTCTTTGAAGGGCCAGTTTAGCTTAATATACTAGAAAAACGACGGGCCGTACCACCCATTTTATTTGACTGTCTTATTTTGAAAACAAAATTCGAAAATCCTCATTTTCGCTGACTAACTAAAACTGCACTTTCAAAAAACTAGCCTTTTGTTGCCGCCTTTAAAAATTCACCTAAAGAGCACACCCCTAACGTACAACGCAAAAATAAAAGTTGCAAAAGTAATCGTAAAGCGCATTGCCACAATAGCCTTTTTTCCGAAAAAATTAGTCACACCCTAGACAAATTCGTTCAGGGATTTTGATGACCAATGTTATTTGAAAGGCTCTCTGTTAGATTTTGGAAAATTCCGTCTGCAAGTAAAAAGGATGGCTTTGCGCACATACGCACTCCATTTTTTGGCACATGGTTCCAATTCATTTTCAATTAAAATATTAGAAAAGTCCAAAATAAAAAGTTTTATCTATGTAGAATTACACTTGATCAAATACTCAATAAATCAAAATATCTGTAAGGTAACAATACCCCAATCGAAATCATTAGATCAATCTCCAGAAAAACCTTGTACGTCCAGAAACTATACATGTTGAGACGTAATACTAAAGCGATTCTAGATTCAGCAACAGTTAGTTTACCGAGGTCCGGTGATAAGCCTATAAAGCGATCACTCCCATAGTGGAATGATAATGGCCTTTTGAGAACATTCCGTGATTGCTACCTTAAGCTTAAAATTAAAAATGAGCTATCGAAGTCACTCCAAATAGCCTCTACATACAACAACAATTTCAAAATATCTGTAAGGAATACCCCTTACATTAGATCCTGTATACAAATGAGTAGTAACTTTTTGGTGACTTTTTGCGATAGGATCGGCATTACTACCTTTTTAGTCACTTTTCTGGTGACTTTTTGCATTAGAATCGGGATTAGTAAAGTTTTAGTAACTTTTCTGGTGACTTTTTGCATTAAGATCGGCATTCTACCTTTTTAGTAACTTTCTAGTGACTTTTTAAGTTAGGATCGGCATTACTACCTTTTGAGTAACTTTTCTGGTGACTTTGTGTATTAGGATAGGCATTACTACCTTTTTTTAATAATAACAATATTGATTTAATTTGCAAAATATATTTACAGTAATTACAAACAAACTGAAAATCATATGAAACAACTTATGTCAAAACAAAAACCAAATTAGAAAAAAGACAAAGTTGAGTAATGTCATAGGTGCATACTAAGAAACCAAAAAAAAAACTCATTCAAATAATGTAAATGTAAAAAAATTAATTAAAAAAAAAACTCGCTGATGGAATACAGCTCGAACCGTAAAACTATATAAAGTTTTGAAATTGTTAAGCTCTTGAATATTTGGTGGAAGTGCACTACCTATACATCAGCTTGATACAGGCGTAGTAACATCCCCTTTCGGTACTTGCCAACGTACGAGACGGGTAGCTATACAATGAACAATTTTTTCGGATGTCATATATGCGATATGCGTGATTTATTCGATTACCACCAACGATTTTAATGCACTCAAATCCAGATAGTGTTCCATGACTCTAAGTGAGTATAAAACAGATACGTTTCGTACATAGATAATTTATATGTGGAAACCATTTTAAATTCGTCCTGTACAGTTATCCCTAAAAATTTAATTTCTTTTGCGAGCTTCTTAACAACACCACCGATTTAAGTAACTGTAGTAACTTTAACTTTGTGGTATCTTTTTGCGTTAGGATCGGCATTAATACCTTTTTAGTTACTTTTCTGGTGACTTTTGCGTTAGGATCGGGATTACTAGTTTTAGACATTTTACTTTTAGACTTTTGATTTTTTAACGCCAATTGGGAGTGGCTTATAGATCATGTAATCATATTATACAAAAGAAACCAAAATATTTATGGTGTGTCACAAAAGTTACAACCTCAGCGAACGAGGATTCCTGTACATGTGCGAGAAATGTTCTGAAATAGACAATAGACGCAGACGAGGATTGATATGTGTACATTTTCTAATAAATTATGTAAGTAGGTAATTTAGGTAATTTTAATTCGAAAAGGAACATGGGCAATTACAGGGTTGCTTATACATCATTTAACCATAGTACCTATATCAAAGAAATAAGAATATGCGGTGTACTATAAAAGTGTAATTGTAAAGTGATAGGGAAATTTAAAAAAAAGTTTCGGAATTTGAAGACAGCGAGAGATTTTATTTTTAGACGGCCAAAGAAACAAAACTATTTGATGTACCATAAAGTTACAGCCCCCGCGGTGGAGAATTTTCGTACATGTAAGAAAAAGTAAGTAATTTGAAATCAGCATTGAATTTTATTTATATAATACAATTGGAAGATCGCTTACAGATCATTTAAACCATTGAATAAGCTTAGTTTTTTATTCAATGTTTAAACCTAATCTGTTAAAGAAATACATACATTTGATGTGCCACAAAAGCGCAACCCCCACAATTGAGGATTGCTATACCTATGCATGAAAGTGTCAATCTTGCAGAAAGTAATGTAAGCTTAGAGACGAGACGAGAAATTTATTTTCAGAGGCAAATTGCAGGATTGTTTGTGGACCATTTAAATCTATCAAAAATATTTGGAGAGCAACAAGAGTGAGAGTAATTACAATCCCTTGCAATTGCTATATACTACAGGCTGTTGCGCGCAAACCGTGACCTAAAAGTATTCAGACTCCCATCAATAATTTAAATCTGAAAATTTGCATACCAACATAGTTTTTCATGATCTATCGAAAGAAAATATCGTCATGATCGCTTCACTTCCGGTTTTACCGGATGTTGATGGCAACTTTCTTATTTTAAATAGAACACCTTGCATTTTATCGCATTTTCGAAATATATATGAACATCTAAGTCATCTGATACCACATTTCACATGAAAAAATAAACAGCAGGTCATACTAACAAAAGACAAAATAAAAAAACAAACATCACCGTTTTTTTCAGTACTACATAATAGCATGCTCTGATGCCCACGGAGTCATAGGTACAGGGCTCAAAAGAAAAGTAGCCAAAAGTAAAACTCTGTGAAAAATCTTGAATAAAGCTGAAAACCGTTAATGTTGGGTATAAGGAGAGACCACGAGAATATTTTTCTTCGATAGATTATGAAAAAGTATGTCGCGATGGTGCCAACCTTGCTGTCGAAACGCGTTCGATGTTTTAATATATTATTGTGGTTTATTGGTGTTTTTGTTTTTATACTACTTTTGCAAGTAGGTTGAAATTAAAGTTTTTAAAATACTTGATTTTTAACTCGAGTGATATGGAAAATCATAGGTAAATGTAAATTGTGTTGCTTTCTTTTATACCAATTGAGAAAATAGGCAACAAATTAACTAAAAAAATCGCGGAAGAGGGTTTTAGTTTTTTATTGTATTGATCCCATTGATCCCATATCCCACTTTATGTCATTTTATTATACGAACTCCCGAATTATTATCATAGGTCAAGTTAGTGTAAATACATAATAGATGAATTGAATTAACAGATCCGGATGTACTGAAACTGTTTGAAGGGTAATGAAAATAAAAGTTAATACCATGTCTGATTAGAGAATCTAATGAGCATTCAAATGCTGTGCTCGCGAACCATCATACCATATTTAAATTTGTTGGGTGACCATGCTGTTTAAGGTGGCCCTTCTCATACAAATTTGATAGGAATGAACATTTCCTAGAAATTAGTTTGTAGGGGGTGGAAATTTTAGGTATTGAACAAATCAGTGGTATCTGCAATCAAGCATAAGTGAAGTGTAGCCAGGCCGTTTTTCCTGCAATTCTTGCATTTAAAACAATAAATTGATTACCTATACTGCAAAAAAACAAGGCAAAAAAAATGAACATCGTTAATAATATAAAAATAACGTCATAAAAGCAATCACTTCTCACATTCGCATCTATCAGGCTTATCAGTGTATATCATTTCCATTAATTTATTTACACAATATGGCGATATCAAGTGGTATTTTCATCGAAAAAGGATCTTGGCAATAAAAAATGGTTTAGGAAAACTCCACAATTACAACCTGTTGTCAAAAATTCGGTTGGAACACATAATTACCCTATAATTTTCCCTTCACAATTTTTTTCAAAATCTTAAAAACTGTAGTCATCGAAAAATACCAAAAAAAAGTCGCCGTTGCGGTTCATAAAACTACAATTCTTTCTTCGTTTATCTCCGCACGTTTCCAAGATGTGTATACAGTATATCAAGGGCACGGGGGTACCGATTAGCATTTTTGGTGTGCTAACGACAACGTTTCGAATAAAGCACCTCTGGTGAAATTCGCAATCAATGAAGTACAACCAGTTAATTTATTTTCAAGTTGAGTGATAATTCACGAGATAGATGTTTACTGGGAAATCGTTTTCTGATAGTAGATGATGGCAAATGAGTGTTAACACAAGTGCTAAAGTAAATCTATACCTAGTATATGAGATTATTTTACTTGCGTATTTTCTCCAGAATATTATTAAGTAATTATTATTAATAATCTCACGATAATATCAAGTATAGCTTTTATCCCAAAAATTTATTTAAATGAAATATGTTTTATTTAGAATTATACATATTCGCATAAGTAAGCTAGTAGTAGTAGTAGTAGTAGTAGTGTCCTCTCCAATTTATCAAAAAATTGTACTAATGGCCGTGATTAAAATATGGAAAGTATTTTTAAAATAGCACGGTTCGCCCATATCAGGAAATCTTCCGTATTCTTTTACAACAAAAGCAGTCCCATAATAACTATTAACAAATAGTATACTAATTTGGACAACTCCTATTAGAAATAGAGAATTGATTACTTTTGTAACGGATAAAAAGGAACAACTTTCTCTATTTCCAAATATTAAATTGGATCGTTTTAAAAAATCATAAAACGTGAATTCTTTCCGTTTCCAGACAAAATCTGGTAAAATTATTACAAATAAATTCTTTAGAAATAATTTATACACGTAGTCGATCCGGTGCAAAACAATGCAATTCAAGTTCATTGAATGTCGAATTTTATTTTGTCATGTTCGTTCGTCATGCCATTTGGGCATCTCACTATTGTAGCTAATGACGTTACCCCTCCATAAAAATTACGCATAAAGTTTAGTAACATCTCGTACAGAACACAGTTGCAATTTGCATCCCAAAATGTGCAGACATGCTTAAGCTACTAGATTATTAGTTTTGTTAGGTTCTCAATTTGTTCAACGCTAGAGGTGAGTTGATTTTTAACTGTTTAAAAAAGACGCGTATCAACAATATTATTGGAACGCGCGTTATTTACATTGAATTTGTATTGGTAAAAATCGATGGCTCTGTTGATGCTCATGCATGTGAAGCAAAGCTGAAATTTTGCTCTTTTCCGGTTCTTTCAATTATTTCCGGAATGACAATAGCCGACGGGTCAATGCTTCCGTAATTTCTGCGATTTATCCGACCTCGATGTAATACATATGATTAATTAAATAGGACCTTCAGCATACGTTTATTTACTAATTATTATTTTTCAGAAATGGCCACCATGATTATTACCGCATTCGTTCTTATTTTATTCGTACAGCAATGCGTTGCTCAAAGCGAACCAAACACCAAACAATCGGGAAAATATTCAGAAGAGTATTGCGATCCGTGTAGAGTCGATAAAAGAATAAGAAGAGATGTGGAAAAGAAAGGGAGTGAGAATGAAACACAAAACCAAAATCCTGCAGTTGCCGCGAAGTTAACTTCAAATGCTAGTGCAGTGGCGGATAATGAATTTGTACGGTTGAGGCGTGGTACAGATAGGGATGCTGTACAGCAAGATGTCGAGAATGTTAAACACGCAATAGACGAATACTCATCAAACGAAAAGCAGGTACGAACAGCAAGGATGCTCCTACAGGATAACAATGACGTTCCGGATGGCTTTCGAGAAGCTAGAGGTGCGACTAGGGAACAGTGGGTTAAGCAACCCTACCCCGTTACCATAGACGACACCAATTTTGAAGATAACATGGCTGCAAGTAGCGACAGAGCGCCAAGAGCTCATTTTGTTACACAAAGACGCCTAGAACCCTCACCTGCCATCTACAGAATGCAAGAACGTGAAGGAAGATCGCGAGAGCTTTACAGAGACTCGGATAGAGACTTACCACCTAGTGCATCGCGAGTTCCGCCGTCGCATTTTGAATACTACCCAGAACGGCCATCGAAACGTTTTGAATCTTATCCTATAAGATCGTTTAACCCTTACAGAGACGACCCCTATTACCGGTACGAAGAATCCCGATATGATCCTAGATATGGTTCCCCGGAGAGCGAGCGTCCACGATCCGATTTTCCTACAAGACAACGACGAATAATTTATTACGCAACTTTACCTGAAGTAGTGCGAACACCACCAAATGTCAATTTGAGAAATAGGTACGTTTATCGCGATCCTTACGATGACCGATACGTTACGTCCCCCTCACAGCCAGCCGCCGAAGAAAGTTCATATAGATTTCGAAAGCCATCCACCCCGTACACTAAATCAAGACACGAGCAAGAAATAGAAAGGACGAAAGCTTCTTATCCTTTAAAAGTTTCGACAGACGTAAATGTTAGAGAAACCAAGAAAAATCCTGAAAGACGAATTTATTCTGAACCCGAATCTAGATACGCATACAAAGCTCAATCGAAGGAAAGCTTTGATCAGCGCACTTAAATTGCACGCATTGCGATTAGTTTAGATGGTACGCATACTTGATTAAGTTAATTTATTAACCTGTAGCAGCTTTTATAAATTATTTTGTCGAATAAAACTAGATTGTAATTAAAATAAACCTCGCTAAAACGTTTTTGTGGTTCATCAAAATTTTTAAAACAAAAAAATTTAATTGGCGGTCTAAAGAGGATGATTTATGATATTAAACAATAGTGATTGCATAAAAGAACGTATAATTTCGAAAGAGTTTCCCTTGCGTTTAAATGCAGATCATTTAATTATGATGAATTATGGTATTATACATATTATTTTCCTTTGTATGCTGTTAAAATACACTTCTGCAATAATATTGAAATGGTGCAAATGCAGTTTTACATATACAAAGTAAATAAAATACAACGAACGATGTAACGTTTAACTCAGTATACCTATTTAAATTGCAGCACGTATTCTCCAGCTTACTACGGCCCTTTCTGTTGAAATCTTTTTAGAAATCAAACGAATCACATTACTTTGTCTTACCAGAGGTTTTACTAGAATATAACTTACAAATATTAATTAACTAAATGATTATGGATCCAACTTTTGCTTTCAATAACTACCATTAACTACTTCGTAATGAATCACTTAGTGCTTCAACAGCCTTTCAAAAAACTTACTGTGATATTTTTGTGTATTTAATAGATTATGTTCAAATACTCTGTAGCCAAACCTGCAACTGTCCTCTAAAAATAAATTTCCATCTCGTTTTAAACTTTTGTAATTTATTAGTAAATCCACACTTACATATGGATTCAGATGTCCTAGATTTTTTCATTACAAAAGGTATACCAAGAATTAACTGTACAGTAGAAACCCTTCTTGTATGCAGCATAAGCACTGAAATCATCAAAATAAAAATGCGAACTGTAATAACATTCGTCCTTATCTAGATCAAAACCTGAACCTTAATTTGTGAATAACATCCCCAGAAGACCTAGATGAAGCAGCCCAATACTTCACAAAAATGGTACAAGATGCACCTATCCACTAAACAGTGATGTCTCGAATATTGCTAGTGTAGCGCTGCGCATTCGCCAACTTATTATTGAAAAAAGACGTGTTAGAAGAACCTGGTAAATGACTAGAAACATTGTAGCCTGCTTCTAACTGATTAAGCAGAAAATTAAAAACGACACTCTGGGAATTCAGACCAAAAGAAGGCCACTGGACATAAAACTTCGCCAAATGTACCGGTCACTTAAACGAAAACCTAAACTTTTAACATTTAACGGAATCCAACTGTCGGGATGCGCTAAATCCACGACAGTCGACATCATCCAAAGGTTTCAATCCAAAACGTTAAGGATCCTGGTAAACGCTCCCCGGTTCATCAGCAACCACATAATTCCATGCGTTAGAAATGACAACCGACGTATGGCAACTTCATAAAATCAGAAAATAGTAAATCATAGGAACGAACTAGTTGAAGAGTTACCAACAAACGGTCCGTACTGGAGAACACTTCTCAAAACCTGGTCCAACTTTGAGCAGGAGCAGCATTGATGGACGCTGCCCTCTCAAGTCAGATAAATGTAACAAATTTACTTAATACTTAAATATGATGTAGATTGGAAATATGCAAATAAAATTTTTAAAAATGTACCAAATTCTTGACAGAACAGCTTCCAAGCTCAAACCAAAAATATACATTTGAATGTATGAGGATTTGTGTGTTGCCTATTGCAATTCGGAAATTTCTGAGAATATCCTCAATATTATGTGACACTAGTTACCCTATATAATCTCCTCTAAATGTACCGTATTTTCTAATTAAACTAATTTTCAGTAATCGTTAAACCATTTTAAATTTCTATTATTGTAACGTAGTGTAAAATCATAATCAGTTATCATGGCAAAGTTTAATTACAAATCAAGGAGGTAAATATGGTACAAGCACGACAATAATAGCAAATAAAATTTAGAGAAAGCATTCCTGATTCCCTCTGCATCCTACGCCTCTGCTAAATGCTATACAAAATTTTACTTTCAGCCAGGCGAATGTTTTCAAACATGAAAGGGGATGATTGTTTCCGAAAAGTGTCTGCAATTTAATTTGATTTTTATCTGATTTACCAATGAGAATATATTTTATATTTTATTGTACAACAAACACATTTATTCTATGGTAGATAAATAAAACTTCAAAATGCTTGATTTCAATATGTATACTTCGGCTACTCTTCGTCAGATGCCGACAGCTCCCTGTGAATTCACATTTTAATGTAGTTCAAATAATTTTGTTTAAAAATTAAAATTTGCATTTGATATACAGTAACGCAATTGACATTTGGGATTTTTAATTCCACACAACAAATTACGTACATAGACAAAATTAGATTTGAATCGATGTAAAAGTTTTCGCATATAAGGGAAAGTCATTTTTAGAGGGCTTCTTTACGCTTTTCCAAATACAGGTCTTTAGGTAATCGTTTTAAGCGTCTTATGATGAACGGTTTATCTATGATAATAAAAGTGAACGGTGAGGCATTACGTAATTACATGGACATGGACGCCACCTGAGAAGCGTCGTAATTCATTGCTCCCATCGTTATTGTTTGCGTAAAATTGTTAATGCCCCGCATAATTTAAAATTGTATTTTTATATAGGCACAAAAGATATTGCAGTTAAAGAAAACGAATTTTCAAAGACGCCGACCTCTCAAGAGGTTCCGAAAATATTAAGAAGTGGGTCTTGTTACTTTGAAGTAAAAGTTGAATATCAAGCCTTTGTGACGTCATTACGTCACCTGCTCCAGACGGGATTACATTAATTAAATTTTCAGGTAAAGTGCCTCTCCGCTTTCGATTTATTTCACTTGTTTACCGACGTTTTCTTTATGCACTCAAGTAGCAATAATAAATTATTAAAATAAACGCCTCAACGAATAGTAGCAACAAATTAGCGTTACAGTCACAATTGCCAATGAATATTCATGATGAAAAACGACTCATAGGAACGAGTGTGGGACATAAGACAATCATTATGATAATGTCAAGATCTTATCAACTAGAATTCAGTTACTCTTGACTACTGATCTTATCAATAATCTTACAAGTAGTTCAACAACATTTCTAATGAAACCGCGAGCTTGCTACTTTTTATTAATTATGTTTAAATCCCTCTTTTTCCGACAAAGCTACTGAAACAATTAAGTGAATAGTACACAATTGTGGTCGAACAAAATTAAATATCTTGGCGATTTAGAAATTAAGCATTATTTATGGTAAACTCAAAGCGATCTTTGCAAATAGTAATTTCTGTGGAAGAAATTCCGAGTTTCTTTCCATGTTAGTAATAGAAACAGTAGCCATAAAGAAATCGCCAAAATAGTTCTAGTTTTTCAACGACCAAGTAAGGAGAAAGTATGGGAGCTTTCAAATTACAAGATTGAACGTTGAAAAAATCTACAGTTTCGTATTGAGATTTTTTGAGTTTCCGATTATTGTAATTGGTCGATATTTTTTAAAACGAAATTAATCATAGGGATTCTCACTCGATTTTTTGAGTTATAGAGTTTTCAGAAGTAATTTGGCGACACTTCCCGTACGCGAAATTTTTTAACAATTTAATGTCCCGAAGATGTTTCTTGCAAAATTCCTAATTTTTAGTTCAAATCCCAAAAACCATGCTTTATCATAGTACTATTAGTACAAAACACCCACCTATTCATACAACAAGATTACATTTAGAACAGACGTCCACAGCTTCAATATTTGTAATAAGGGAAAGATTTCGCTTCTAGAGCACAATACACCAGAATTTGAATTTATAATAGTATTTCAGCCACTATAAAAAAAACCTCAAGGAACGGCCGTTTTATCGGGAACACAAAATGCATCTTCTGACTTTACAAAACTCGATTATGTATTATACCGAACAAGAACATTTACAATTTTTAAATACAACTGAAAATGTAACTAATTCGCATATCATTAGATGAGAAAAAATCTTCTTTCGATTGGTGTCATTATAAACCCTCTAAGTTAACATGGGGAGCAACGATCTGCAAAAAACGTTGTCCCCATGTCAATTGCCTATGTTCGGTTTTGAAATATTCACCCGGTATATGCCTACAGTGGTATATGTAGTTTCCAACTGCTCTCTAAACAATCGCGTTTGCTGCTGACTTTTCCCCGGAATGTAGTGCAAAGTTTGCTCTATCTTGTGGCATGGTTCACCAAGAAATGTTGCCTTGAAAATAAACAACTTTGCCCCTAGTGTAATCTATTCGTGATAGTATCTCGTCTGCTCTGATTTTCAGTAGTCTGTACGGGTTTGATTTCAGTTATACTCCCCTATGTGACAACTGTTTTCCTTTATAAATTTTAAAGATCGCGTAAGGGTCTTAATACCCTGCGAATGGATGTTATTAGTAGTTAAATCTTGATTACTATAATTTTTTTGGGATTCCATGGCTTCTAAAAGTCAAAATGTATTAAAAATCGCCTTTTTCTGGTAGAACTACGACAACCCTTGTTTAATTATAAAAGCAGATAAGGCAAACGTTCGTCTTGTCTTTAAACTATGATAAAATAAACTTTTCTGAAAGGACTATAGCCTGGAGCGCTGGAGAAGATGACAAAAATTACGCTACGTTGACTTAGATAAGTGGTACAGTGGACAAACTACCAAATTATATAGCGTAGACTATAGTTCTGACTTTAAAGTTAATAAAAAATCGAATTGCTTTGATCGTCCAAAAAATGAATATTTCCGAAGAATTATAGCCTTGAGATCAAGGAGAAATTAGAAAAATTATGCTGTTTCGATTATATTAAGAGATACCGTGAACAAACTACCCAAAAATGTAGACTAGTCTTTCGTATAAAGTTTACAAAAAGTGGATTTGTGCGGGATCTGTTGAAAAATGAACATTTTTGAAGGATTATAGTCTGAAGAGCTAGCAGAGCTGAGATTTTACGCTATTATGACTACATTGAGAAATACAGTTCACAAACTAGGGTCTTACTAACTGTAGGAACGTCAGCTTCTTTAAAACTTGACAAAAATACATTTAGTACGGGTCCTTATAAAATAGGGTAGACCATCCGGAAGAACGGATGAAATTTTGCATGTATGTAGCGTTCATACTTCATATATGTGCTTTAATTACTATATGGAAACAAGTCAAGAAAGGATAGCTTCCCCACCCCCCTTTTATCCCCTCATTTTGATTTTCTAACTTTCTACAAAAACGGTAGAACCAGATCATCTTGTGATAAAATGAGCTGAATAGGTTAAATGCCTTATATACTAATCTACAATGTGACACCAAATTCATTATGGTAGAAGCATTGGTTCCAGAGTTTTGGTACATATAAGTGGGGAGGGTGAGGGGAAACAAACAATCAGTTTCATTTTTTCTTCCGGATAGGACCATAAAATAGATTTTTGTTAGGGCAAGGAGCCGTACTAATTGTAATATTTTATTTTGTTGTTGTTTCAGTATACGTTTAGCAGTATTGATTTTTGACTGTGGTTCCATTTGGAAAACAATTTTCTTTTTTCACATGGATGTGATATATAGTGAGTTTTTTTAAGACTGGCCATAAGATTTTACATGTTAATTTTTCAACCCCCTGTTACCTTTTATTTTTGTGAAAATTACCTGTTTCTATTTTATTGAATATGAACGTTTTCTAGTTATTTACTTTATTTAGTGTGGTAGTGGTTATCATAGATAAATTTACGAAAAATTTTTTTTT